TTTGGTCGTAAAAAGCCTCTGCTCCTTTGGCTTTGTTCTGTGGTTAAATGTAAATAAAGGTCATGTGGGAGTGTGAGCGAAAGTATATTATGCTGTTTTTATTGGTCGTCATCGCTTCCTTCTCTCTTTCCTCACTGCCGTTACCTGAGATTACTCTCTACTACAAAAGAAATGTACAGAGTGTAGAACATCAATCATCACAAGCCGTTCGTTCTTGCATTTCCACTTATGTAGTTTCATTTCATGTTAACACCTGCTTGACCCAGAAATTGTAAAATGTCCAATGGCCAAATGGTGGGAAAAATCTTTTTGCCTGTGCACCAGACTTCAGGACTCAAACGGACCATGTGTCAGTCATGATTAATCAAGAAAATCAAAATACTAATAAGTATGGCAGATAACAATTCTGTACATTGGTATAAGAAAAATGTAAAAAAAAAAGAAAAAAGAAAAGTAACTCAAAATATTACATCATGCAGTTGGTGGATTTTTGTCATTATTGTTGCTCATTATGTGTGCAACAATGAGTGGATTAAATGATGAAATTATTAGATGTACAGTACACTACATTGTGCTCATCCCACAAAAATGGTTGGGAAAAAAAGGATAGTATCAATGCTCTAGTAAAACACTAAAATCCACAATACCTGAGTGACATCAAGGTAGTATGAGCTTTAACAGTACTTTAACAGTACTTTAATTCCCTCAACAGTGTTAGCATACTTTATAAAAAAGTATGTATTTCCCATTGTGATCTTCATGAAACAATGAAGTCTAAGTTTAGCTTACATAAAACAGGTTTGTGCATTACAACCAACACTGTTCATATATTCAAATATGTGTTGCCCACTAGGGGCAGTGCTGAGTTAATTTCTTCGCTGACATCAGACAACTACAAACGGACAATAGTGGAGAAGATTGTAATGGTGTCCCTGCTCAGAAGGAGGTCCAAACAGAAGCACTGCGAAGACGATGACGATCTGTCAAACAATCACAATGACATTTAATACAATATCCAAAATGTTTTTAGGATGAGACTGGAGGAAATACCTTTCTTGAAAACCACCTCTCATGTTATGTGACAACTAAATAGCGGAGGTCAAATTTAAATTTATTTTTTTAAGTTTGGGACAAAATACATCAAGTGCTGTCCTATCAGACATGCAGCATTTTCCTTGCATTTATTTTTGTCATTGAGTCATTTTAATCAAACCTAACTCTATTATCCCTTATTTCTTTTCCTCTTTTTTCCCCCTCTGACTTACCTACCACCTCGCTCTGCTGAGATCCGTGTCTTAACTTGAGCCTATTTATTTAGCCTCCACTGTCTCTCCTCTTTCCTTTCTCTCCCTCTGCTTGTGTTACTTAAAGCCATGTGGTCTAATTGCAACCATGTGTGTGTTTGATGATTACAGTGGTAGCTCTGTCAGACTCTGAGAAACTTCCCTACAGAACTCAGCCGCAGCATTTGAGCCAGCTACTAGCAGCATTGCAATGTTGCAAATGAACTGTATAGAATCCTTTATATATGTATATATATAGATACATATAGTATATTAATCAGGTTTTACAACTCTCAAAGATATCTCTTTTTTTTTAAATCAGACTATACAAGGATCTTTTTTTTTTCAAACTTGAATGGAAACCTGTAGAAATAATTGAAACTTTGCGACATGGTTTGATCCATACATGCAAACAACTACATTTTGTTCATAGACTGTCTCCTTCATGTCACAGGAGTGAACATGTTCATGTTTTCTGAAGTGTATAAAGTGACAATATACCCCAAACCACTAGGATAAGTGTTTCACAGAAATGGAAATGGGGTGAATGAATCGTCGGGTAAATGGCTCTCTTCCTCTTTCTCTGTGCCATGGGAAAGCATTGCCAGGCTTTGTGCATTGTGCTGCTGCTTTGCTCGATTAGGAAGAAAGCTGTTTTTGTCTTGCAAACAAAAGAATTACGTAGATTTGAAATCAAAGAAAGCTGAGGAGAAGAGAGAGGAGAAGGAGCAGCAGGAACAGGCTTCAAGATTAGGAGCAGTGATCCGGTTTCTTCCTTTTAACAACATGTTAAATTTCAGATTGACAGACAGTATATTTTCTATATGTTTTTTTTTCAATCTATTCTCTCACAGTATATGAAAGAGCTTCCCAATTGAAGGCACATGTGAGCAGGGTAGAAGGTACAGAATCAAGAGTTTTATGTTAGATTTAAACTCCAACTGATCCAAATAGACAATTTTTCACTATTGTTTAAAAGCAGAACCGCTGTAAAAAAAAAAAAAAAAAAAAAAAACTTAATCCAAAACATAGCCTGGCCCTCCTCTGTGAGACTCGCCTTCAGTGATTGTACGTATTCTTTAACTGTACCAGTGCATTGAACTTAATTGACCTTCAGAACTTCTGGACTTGGTTAGATTCCTCTCTCCTGCGACTGAGGAAGGGTATACAGTGCAGACTATTCCTCAATGTCTCTTTGAAGCTATCATTGTTCTCTCTTTCTTTGCTTTTCAATTTTCTGATCTTGTGCTTAATCGTGGTTCTGTGTCCAGCTGTGTCATGGCTCCGCTTAAGCGTGGGAAGGGAAATCACTTTGAGGTTGCAGTTGTGATAACAGGATTTATAAACCCCCTTTGGATGAGCTGTTCATGAATGCATCCTTACTGAACAGTCTGTTGATTACTTTCCAGCAGTCTGCTGTCTGAAGAGGGAGCAAAATTGCTGCTTGCCAAGGAAGTACGTTTACTAGACTGAAATAGACAAACAGGCAATTTCCACAAATCCACAATTTAAAAGTGATTAAGCTTAATCAATTTCATGACATTGCTTTATCAAAGCCATTATTGTTGCCTTCACCTGGACCTCAATAACCCCAATAGAAACCTGAGCAGAGTAAAAATGGGTCCGTTTTAAAACATAGTAATATAAAAAACTTTCAGATGAACAGGAGGGATTAAGTCTGTGCTGCACAGCAATTTAACAAACAGCAGAGGGTCATGTGTGACGTGTGTGATTAGTGTGACGTGACGGCAGCAGCTGTGATTTAGGTTGGAGGTCTGATCGCAAGCAGTGCTGGTCTACATGCCAATGTGTGATGGTGCAAGGCCTTAATTTCACTTGGCAGCTGTTGTGGTGGGTTCAAGTGGGATTAAACGGTAAGTGATAGAGTTGGTTTATAATATGTACTGGACAACTGCTAAATGTCACCCAAAGGTCTTATCTTAAACTTTGTCTTTGTTTGGACATTTGAGTGTCTAAAATGATGTTCCTTCACTGTTAATAAAGGTTAAAAGATAATTTGTTTCCAAAAGTCGTCTTTGTTGGCTTTGTAAGGCTAAGGCAACAGAACTTTAGCATGACCCTGACTTAAAATTTCACTTTAAAACATAGGATACTAGTTCTGGTTAATGTATTCAGTCAGGCTGCTTCAAAAACATGGTGGGACTAGAGCAAAGGCTCAACCTTTTCATTTTCTTTAGTAAACCCTCTTAAATCACACTCTGGATATTTATGTCTGACCTTAGCTACTGATGCAGGGGGTGTTTACAAGGGGCAAGAACACTGGGAAACAACTTAATTTGCCCTAATACAATTATTATTACCGTAGTTACAGTTTTCTGAACGTATGCAAGCCAGAAATTCTTATATTGCTTGCTTGTTTCAAAGCTGTATACTTTAACAATTCTCATGTGCCTCCTTCATCATGTTGACTGTGTGTGGTGTGTGTGTGCGCTGGTGAGGGCCAAGAGTCAATCAGGAGACGGCTGTGTTTAGAAATGACATGACAGGCAAATAAACATACAAACAAACAGCAGGAAAGCCCTTCGCTAAATCTCATCCTGGACTAATAAAGTGCAGAACAGAAGGATTAAAGTTGTGTGTTCATATGCATGCTATTCCCTGACATCTCTATAAATAACTTTCTTGCTTACCCGCTGTCTTTCTGTATGTTTTATCTAAACGCTGCTGTCTGTCTTTTTAATGGTGATCTAGTTAAAACATATTTATTTTGGCCATTGAATAACTATATATATATATGTGTGGGTGTGTGTGTGTGTACAGCAATGTGCCTCATTCCCTGTGCAACAAATTTAGTTTCATCAATCGGCAAGTACAGTCAACGATTCAGTGACAGAGCAGTAGCAGTTGTACGGCTATTTGGCACCATCTAGTGTTATTTTACGCAATCACATTTGTTATTTACGTATATTAATTTTAAATATTACTCAAATCAAACTTCACTACAGCCTGTATTATTATTTTTAAATATTTAGAAAAATATAAAAAAACATTTGTTGAAGTGTGTCAATCAGTATGAAATCAACTTTGTTGAATTTGCTTTGACTTTGTAGGTCGTGTGGTGGTAATAAAGAGAAGTGGAGCCGTAGCTATTTGTACAATATTGGATTTGGCTTATTTGTTAAAACATGTTATATAATATTATAATATTAAGTGTTACTAAAAAAAATCAACCTCTAAACCTATATTTTACTAGTATAAACACCCTTTAAACAAACAAAACCAAGAATATAAATTGTCCAAAATTTCAAATCATTGTTTTATTTATATATACTGTCGCAAACACAAACTGTCGTGAACATTATATTTAAATGATGTTTTGTACTGTCTACTTATACTGCAGTACTCAGTGTGAACATGTAAGTACATGCCAGCTGTGACGAGCCAAGGTCAGGATCAGTACTCCAGTTGGTCCAGAGGAGGTCACTGTTGTGTGTATGATGAATTGTGAGTGTCATTTCAGGGCAGGTTTTTTTCTACATTATTATCTGTGGGAGTATCAACTGACCTCAGAGTGACCTCTGAAGGACCCAGGTGTGTGTTTTTATGACGATGAGATGATGAGTAGGGGTGTGTTCCTCCCTCCGCCGACGTCTTACCTGCACTGTGTATAAACTGCTGCAGCAGATTCCAAACGAGAAAAGCACTGCAGCAGCACCTCATCTCACATGCACATGAAAAAGAGAGGCGACAATGAATATGTGGGCGGGGTCAGATTGATGTAGGCGTGATGTTTACGAGTAAGTCACTCCCCTTTCTAATTGAATATTCGATAAGCTTCCGACTGAGAGGCAGGCAGGCATCAGAACAGGGGAAAGTTGACGGCTTTTGGGGGCAGCTCCATCATTTTCATAACAGTAGTCATGCTCCGTGCAGCCACAAGCTTTCTTTACCCCCCTGGCCTCACTCTACTCCAACTTCCCTGTGTCTACTTCTGAGCTATTCTCCGTTTTGACATCATGGAGCCGCTGTGTACGGACACCGGTTCCTCGGCACGGCATGCAAATACGTCCTCTGACGTCGGCGATCATGTGGCTTTTGGCGTAGATCCTCCTTGTGAACGCCAATTTTTTCTTTCCTGTCGCCTGTTGTCTGCTCGCCTACTGGGCCGTCGTCAGAGTGTTTAGAAAAATTACGGCTCGTTTGTGTGGCTCGGTCTTTGGTGAAGATTTTGGGGGATATTACCGTAACTACCTGAGCATCGCGCCTGAGACGGTGGGCAGGTAAGAAAAGGGGAAAGTGGGGCTCTGTCTTTCGGTTTTTAAAACATGTCGCCTTTCCGTCTTGTAATAAAAGTATCCCTAACTTAAAAATGAATTCAGTTGTTTATGTGTTTGTCTCGAGCTCCTAAACACTCCCAGTTTCACTGCTGTGCGTAAATATTTCAACTTGTGTGGCCGCATGAACTTTGCCTGCCTCTGCCGTTTACACCTGCCTGCTCAGACAATGTGACCGACAAGTTCGTATCTGGACATTTAATACCCCTTTGGTGAAGTTTGACTCTGATTTACAGTGACGGTAGTGGGGAAACAGGAGGCAGGGAGAAGAGCCGCCGTGTCTACTTTTCCTCCTCCTCCTCCCCGTGTCGACATAACCAGCAAAACATGGCCGTCCTCTGCCGACATGTTGTTACGTCGATGGCGAGAGGGGGGCATTTGGGGAGAGTGTGTTTCTTTTTTCCTGCGCCTTTTTCTATCCAGATAACGGAAACACCGGTTTAGCACCTCCACCGGTGTGTCCGCTCTCTCCCTGCGGTGCTGACGTTACTGTGTAACTTTTGTTGTTTACAGACTTTGATTTGTGCCACTCGGTGATGTAGGCGTAACGTTTCCCCTGGTGATGCCTCCTCCCCAGCGAGACCCGGGCTGTGACTGCGGACACACACACACTGCACACACACACACACACACACACACACACACACCGCACACGTAGTGGATGGGACTCTGATTTCTCTTCTGTTAATCTGTATTGCCTAACCAGAAGCTTCTCCATGCATTATACAGCTAGTACCTTACCCATACTTTTGTACACCCTTACCTTAATGTCAGAGTTTTCATTCAGTCCCAAGACTGATCCAAGAAAAGAAAAGGTGTGCACAGCCACAGACTGTAAATAAGAAGTGGTCAAAACTACCTCCAGTTCAGACTACTGTTGCACAGTTAAATCTTGTGTTGGTTCACAAATGATTTCAGACGCTCTTAATGGCTTTGTTTCTTCTCTGGTGATTCTTTAAAGCCCTGTTTACTTGTACGTATACATTCAGTTATGATAAGAGACATGGACCATCCATTAGAATCCTGTTGACATCAACAACCACCACTTAAAACATGACAGTGGCACTGTTAAGTAATGGCCGACAGTGTTAGCCATGTTTTGGATTGTCCGACTCACATTGGCTGACTCAGCAGTCATACAGTCATTTGCCCTTGCATTTCCTAGTGTATTTTTAATGCATTACATGTTTTAATTTGACACTGTATTCAATACAATTTTCAAGATTCTGATGTCAGAAATAGAGCTTCATAGAGCTTAGGCTTGCACATAATCTCACAAAAAAGTTTTTTAGAAGGTTTGTCAACTATGTGTTTACACAATATGTAGTGCAAGTCTACAGTGGACCGAATGCAAGTGTTCATAGGTAGATAGGTAGATACTTTTGAGCAGTGGGTTGACAGGTTAAATGCAAATCACAAAAATCTACTGTGGCAGTTAAAAGAAGTTTTGATTCCACTGATAACGGTTATATCTATGTGTGTGGCCTTTAGAATCTAGCCAAACTATATGGTGTTGTACACCCACATATGGTCTTGTGGATTAGAAAAAGAACATTGGTGCACGTGACCTTAATCAGTCAAATAAATCAGTGTGTTATATGGTTTAAAATCAAGTACATGTCATTCAAATCTAAGTCCCCCAAAATCACTGGCTCTAGTTTATGTCACAATGTTGGTATATGCACAAAAATTGAGTTTATGTGAACAATTTGTCACAACCCCAACACTGGTGATTGTGCATATATATTCAGCACTGAAAAAGTAAATGCAACCGTAGTTGTGAATAAACTAAATATACTAATCTAGAATCCAAGGAGGGCATTTGACTTTAATTGCATGCTTTTTGTTTTGGGTTGTGCTGGCCATGTGTCTGTCGAAGTATCTTGTTCATATGTTTTGAAAACAGCAGGAGTGACTTGTTATGATTTAGTGTGTTGTCTGGTCAAGAAAACAAAGATCCAATGGATTTTGATCAAAGTGCGCTTAACCCTGTTCCCACTCCAGTTACTTGCACTTCCTCTGGGTATAGTTTTTTCTCATCATTAATCTGTGCACTCTTGCTCTCTATGTGAAAAGAAGTTTGTCTGTTTTGTTCCAGAAAAATCCATTCTCCCTGTGATCTGCCAAAACACAGATAATATTATGTAATTTGCCATAACAAGCAACTGATTTTGTTTGGAAGTGTTTGTCATGAGAAACTGTCACGTTGCAAATCTCACACACAGATGTCTAGTCAGTTGTGTATGTAATTGGAGAGCAACATTTTGTCAACTGCTGATTGTTGCTATAACTGTCCAGCCATCATTGATTTATTGACATCTATTTGTTAAATGTTGTAATTAACTATTTTTTATTAAATAAATTAAAGTGGAAAATCATTTTATATGGCAATTGATGTAGTACGTATACCATCGTAACAACAAAGCCATTGTTTTACTATGTAAATATTTAATGAACAAACTGCTGCACACAGTAAACATAATCATCTGCTATAAGTAGAAAAGTGGATAAAATGAATTTGTTTTTAGTAAAAAAAAATTTAACTGTGTTTTCCTCTCGTTCTATGATCCAGGTTAGAAACTTACAGCTGTGTGGTGATCTGCTCTGAGTGCTTCATGGAGAATTTGTTCGTGTACTGTAGTCAAATAGTGGGAAATGTACAAGACTTGGGATGTCATGTTAAATTAAAGGGATTATTGGAGAATTGGTCAAAATATCTGGCAAGACAAATTAACTCTGACAGATTAACTTCAAAGGCTCATAAACTTTGTGTCCTGAAATATTGGCAGGGAGTATTTTAGGGATTTTTTATAGCATAAAACTACCAACACCACTGCTCAGGTGTCTTAGTAGTAGTACTAACAAGATGGAAGTTGTGGAAGGGTTTTCTCCAGGTATAGATTAGGTACTTAGTCAGTCATAGTTGACCATGGGTATGAATGTGAGTGACAATGGTTGTTTGTCTCTGTATGTGGCCTTATAGTGGATTGGTTAACTGTCCAGGGTGTTCTGTTGTCCGATGACTGCCACTATTGGCTCACGTCCCCGCAGCCCTAAAAATGATAAAGTGGTATAAGTAATATACATATAAAGACTGTTGCATTCACATTTGTTATACAATAAGCCACAAAGTCCTGATTCTGTTGTATACTATAAAATTACTAATATTTCAAGGATGACAATATATTTTGTGACCCTGTTGTTGTTTTTAAACAGTTGTACAGTATATATTGTTGTGTACTGTAAACCGGAATTTCTGATTTCACATTTGAGGCTTTGCTGTGAGAAATGTCTCACAATCATGTAAGATTGGAAGCTCTGCTTTTTGGGCCGTGTTTGTGTTTTTGCTTGAAGCAAGCATTTATTTATTCAACGATATATGGTGGATATTTTTAGACTGCGCAAGCAGACCTGTAGTTAGGTTTCAGCATGTTTTTCCCCGCAGCACACATTTACACCACAAAACTCGGCTTTGTAATGCCAATGTTAAACAGTCATTGAGTCATCATGGAATCTGTTGTCGCCATGGCCTTCTATATTGAGTTTAACTTTGATGACATCACCAATGTTAAGTCTTTGCATTTTTTCCCCAGTGTTTTCATTTATAGCTCCTTTCTGCTGCAACTCAGTTGACTTCTAATACATGTTGTTAGGTGACTAAGGCAACCACACTGATGAGGTCATCACCTGTATGTAGGTCTGAGAGGCAACACATGATGGAGGAAAATAAAACAATGGAGTCTGTAATCAACCCTCTCTGACCTTAGGTCTTCGTCACTTTCATGCATCATAATTTTTAGCGTCATTAAGCTGGTGCAGTTAAGACGCATGTGGTTAGCTAAATTTGGAACAAGTTGATTAAATGTGAATCATTACTCAGTAGTGTAATAATCACAGACACTGTTTTGTGGGAGGAGATAACAGAACAGAGGCATTCAGTATATTTAATAATGTATGCAAAAGCCCAGCATTGGACTGGTGAACTGTCCAGAATGTACCCCTCCCTCCCCCAATGACAACTGGGATTCGCTTCAGCTCCCACCTGACTCTGGTGAATTGGTAGGTGAATGAATTCATGTTGATTCCTCATAACCACTGCAGTGTTAGGATTAGAGGAAGTAAGTCCATGCTTCCTTTAGCAAGGCTTTTTTTTAAGCATCTGGGTCTATGCAAAACGACCCTTACCTTGTTTCATTTCTGTGGCACAAAAACTAATTAAGATGTCCACAACCATAAAACCTCAGTGTGTATCTTTATTAGTGATTTAAGCTCATAATTGTTGGTATTGGAAAGTGCAAGGTTCCAATGGAGAGTACTGTTGTTATCAATGTGGTGGTGGCATGTGTACAAGGTCACAAGGGAGTGTTTAAACAGTTAGATAAGAGAGACACATCAAAAGCAAGGCACATAGGACAATTGTGGTAGAAGGTAATTTATTGTTATTGGATAAAAGGAAACGCACCATCACCATACTGGCTAAACCTCTACCTGGGTACCACTACTGTTCAGTATAAGTATATATAATCAGGGTTTTTTTTTTCATACCTGTTGGTGCAATTTTATGGCATTGAAAATGCCAAGAGTTAGTTTTTTTTCTTGCTAAAGACATTTTATATCTTTCTCTGGCTGCAGCCTTGTTCTGTACTTATTATGAGGTCTGAAAATCAATCATATTGTAGATGAGGTTGAAAAAAGTAAAGGAATTGCATTTGCTGCAAGCTCAAGCTCAAAATCAAGAATCTTGCACAGTACTGACTAGACAGTGTAACTACAAGACCAGGAACTACTAGCAATGCGTCCATTGACCCCCAGTTGAAACCTTATGTTCTCATGGGTTCACCAAGCTGTAAACCAACAAATGATGGAATAGAGGTGCAGTGTATGTTCAGAAAGAGTAGTTCAAAACTGCTTGACTTGATGTGCCTTACTGAAAATCTGCCTGAAGC